GCTAGGGGGGCTTAGTCCTCGGGGCCGCAGCCGCGCTGTTAGAAGTTAGCGAGAGCGTTCTCCTGCCGGTGCACAGGCCCGGGCCTCGTCCGGAGGTTGGCTGTTTTTTTCCCGGCTGGCCTGGACGTTAGGTAACGGCAGCTAACGGGCTTGGCACGCCTGCAGCGGTGTTCAAAGGCTGCGTGAGGAGCGCAGCTCAGCTGGCTCATGGGGAGCCCGGCGATGCCTAATTGCCTCCCCCCCCCCCAAAGCTGTGCAAACCAGAACTACGCCTTTTCGGGATTGTGGATTTTGCTGAAGAAACAGTAAAAGACGCGAGGAAAATTTGAAGCTGCATCTGCGGGAGGAGGATTGTCAGTAGACTGGCAAAGCCGGTTCTCGCGGAAACGGAGCATTTGGGTTCTGGCCTGGTTGATCCTTAAGCTCAATGTATTTGGTTGCTGTATTTTGTGCTAAAACATTAAAGTTTTGGTTGTAGATTGAATAGTATTGGGAACGAGCTGACTGTCTTTTTGTAGTTTTAACGTGTGTGTAAGGCATCTGCCGTTATTCTAGGCGGTTTGGGGGGGTGGTAGAAGGCAATAATGTCCCATTAGAAGCTTGTCAAATGAGTGCCGTGACTTGTGCCATATAAAGAATTTTTCAGAGAGGAGAAGCAATCCTGTGGATTTTGGAAAACCTGTGACAAGCATACTGCTGGTTTATTTTTAGCTAGCTTCTCCAGTCCTAAAAAAATGAAGCCTTTCACAAAAAAGGAAAGTGTTTTCCTATCTTTTAGAATTCTCTGGGGTTTTTATTACCACCTAATTAAATGTGTTTCAGATTCTCGCAAAAGAATAGAATCAAATCAAATGTGCTTCATTCGTGCTAAACAAATCAGTACAAATATAAGGCAAGAAGCCAGACCTTAGATTTGCAGAAGTCTTGGAGATAGCAACTCTTTTATGTTTAAGGTAGTTTTTCTTCTGTCTGGGGGGGCTTTTTTTTTTTTTAATGTAGTATCAACAGAAAGAGGAAGAATTGTCTGAATTTTTGTATCTTGTTTTCTTGGTTTATATTTTGTATTTTGTTATATTTTTCTTTCTCCAGCATTTGCCATCTCGGGTTTAAATAGAGCCGTAGGAGGGAGTACTTGTGGAATTTTGCTGTCACATGTGAAGGATTCCACTTGCATTCAGCAGCTGCTGCAGTTTTACTGCCTCTTGTTGGAGATCACCAAGCCCACGGCAGAACTGGCATCTCCCCATCTGTTTCATGGCAAAGGATGACATCTTCGTTCAGCTCCCCCCGCCCGGCATTAGTGTTTTAAACTGAGATACTGACTTTGCATTTGAAGCAGCTGACGAATGAACACCTCCTCTTCTGCTGGCCCTGCTATAGCGATGGTTACTTCTGTCGGACAAGTAAAGCAGACGGCCAGAGTCAACAGTATCTTATAGTGAGGTTTGATGTGTTTTTACAGGAAAAATAAAAATCTCTAGTTTAAATACTGGTTTATAATGCCCTCCCTAGGATGTACTGTGTACTGTTTCTGCTCTCCCCCTTCCTTCCCTGGTTCTGTTCTTCAGCATACCTCCTTTCCTCAGACTGTCCTTTTTCATGCTGCTGTTTCTTTCGCGCTTCTCTGTCATTGGCACCTGGGCATATTCTTATGTGTTTCTTCTTGCCTAGGCAAGTTCTTGCTCTTTCATGTGAGTTAGGTCACTCCGTTTCTGTCCTCAGCGCTCCTGGATGATGGCAAGAACGAGCCCAGAGCATGGTAGGGCATTTCTTCTCTCTTGCCCAATTTAAAAAAAAAAATTTGCAACTTTTGTTCAGCACAGAGGGACTTTTCGGTGACCTTGCTCTTAGCCTCTTAACAACGTATGGCTTGAGTTTTCTAACACTAAATGCTACTGGGGCAATAAAAATGCACTCTTAACCTTAGATGGATACCCAGCAAAGTTCAAATTACTGTTCAAAAGCACTGGAACTTCCTAATTAAACATTTCTAGTCTGTCTTCTTTCAGCAAAATAATATGCTTCTTGCGTCTTGTCCTCATAGATCGCACTCATTTCACTTTGACTTGAAGCAAGGATGTAACAGTAAAAGTTTTGCCGTCTACTCCCCCCACATGTCCATACTGTCACAAAGTATTAAAGGGGGAAATTTGGATATCCTTTATGAGTGAAAAAACCTTCACAGCAGGAGGTAGGTATAGTTAGCTGATGGTGCTCAAAACAATTAGCTTGTTCTCCTATTAAAAACACATTAAACTTATTTTTCAAGATGTGGCCTAAGTGTTTTAAGGCAACAAGAAAGGATGGTTTTGTAGTTGAGGCAGAAGACTTGCATTAAGCTTTAGATTCTGGCGCTGGCAAATTCTGCTGGTCATTTAGGATTAAATCTCATAAAGGACTTAGGTGCTTGCGTGCTTGGTTCTGCATGGTTCTTGTCCACCCAGAACTGCAGTCTAGAGCCCTGAGTGAGGTTTGGTGTCCGGAAGGGGTCCTGGCAGGAGAGCCCCTGTTGGGTGTTACCCGGTACTCTCATCTGGATCTCTCCAAGATCCATTTTGGCTCTGCTGCTCTCAAGTTCTGCATGGTGGCTGATAAAAGTTGCTGTAGCGTGCTTGTCTCGTCAGCTGGGCTTATTGCCCAGACCCTGCGTATGCCCTGTCATTGCCGGCGTTACACAGGTGCAGCTGGGCCTAGAAGTTGGTCCTCTTAACAGAAACTGCTTTTTTTGAAACTCCAGGCTTGAGATTTAGCTGGAAGGCGTAACTCGCTGTTTCCTTTGCAGCTTCAGAGAATCTAAGCCAAACAGGAACTGAATGAGGGGTAATAATTCTTTAATTATATAAATCTTTGAAGTATTTCACAATCCAGATAAGACGACTTACCTCATGGATACGTTGCTTCCTTTCAGCTAAATGTTAGTAGAACTACCAAATAGGAAAAAGAGCAAAGTGTACACAGCCTTTTTTTACTCGCAGCAATTGTTTAGTATTTTAGACTATGCAGATACATGTTTTCTAAACGTAAATTCTACCAAAGTTAAATAAAGATCGTCTGTAACTTAAAGCTCTAAGCAGATACAACATTTTTCTTTTGTACCAATGGTATTACGGTTTGTGAATGCAAATATTTTTTATTCTAGGCTATCATGGAAATAGGGAAGTTACTGAAATGTGTTCAGTAAATTTCCTCTCTGTTGCTTAGGAATTACGACTTTTTGATCTACGATGGATTGCACTAAACTGTTACAAATGATGCAAACCCAGCTTTGTAGTTAGCCACAGGAAGCATTTTTAAATTGTATCTGAAAAGTGCTAACATTGAAGATAATTTTTTTTTTTAATTAACAGAGGTGATAGTTAATTTAAAAAAGAAAGTTTTATTGTTCAGAATACACATGCTATGTTTCTGAGTTCAGAAAATGCATGATCTTTTTCACATGTCGGCGTTTTCCTTTTCTGTTTAGCTACAGAGCAATGCCATGTGCTAAAATTGCATTGTGAAAGCTAAAACCTTGATGGTCTGTGTAAAGAGATAAGGAAGAACACGTACCTTTTGAAGGGGAGTGCCGGTTTCTTTAAACTGAGTGCCTAGCTGATAACGCTGTTTGCTTTTGGTAGCCTACTTAGTCCAGATAGGCTTTTTGGCGCTAGATAATCTTTTGAGCAGAGCCAATCCCAAATTCTGAGTAATTTGTTTAATAAAAAATAAAAAGAAAAAAGGAAAAAACCCTACATCAAGACCTCAGGGCTCCGTATTTTGAATCTTCTTCAATGTGGGCAAAAACAGTTTTGCTTTCTTATTTTTGGGGCTATTTGATGGGTGTTCTTCACTCATACAAAGAACTGTATGTCTGTTTCCTTTACTGAACTTGTGAAGGAGAAGACATTTTGGCAAGGAGCGGGGAAAGAAGCATCAGGCAGTCATGCCATGGGAAAGGTAATAGTTAATTACTTTATAATGTGCCTGAAGCAAACAAAGCAAGAGGTTTGTGCAGTGGGATTGTTGTCTCTGATGCCAAGTGCAGCCGGGGGAATGGGAAGGTACTGAGCTGAGTTTGGTCAGGAATATTGCAGCATTTTGCCCCTCGTATCTCCGCAAGAGTATACTCTGTCTCCCCCTCCTCACTCTAAGAACGTTAAGTATTAAGACTTGGGAGATACTATCAGGGTTGGAAAGATGGATGGGCAAAGGAAGAGGTCCTAGAGCGGGGTCTGGGACTGGGCACGGAGCTGCTCTGGGAAGGCTCTGTCTGGAGGAGAGGAACAGAGCGATGCAGGAGCAGGGGGAGTCCGTGCCTGGTGTCACCGGCTGCCCTGAGGGACAGGCTCAGCTGCTCCCGCTCTCCTGCTGGTTCTCATTCTCACCCCTTCTTCCTTCCCTGAGTGATCTTCATGCTGCTCCATTCCTGTCCCTAATACAGCCACCTCCTCTCAGCCACATCCTCTGCTCTGTTTCCCTGTCCTCCTCTGCCAGATGCAGTCCACCCCCCTCGCTTAGAAACCACCAAATTAAGGTATCGTGAAAAACAGATTAGTGTTTCTCTCTCCCTCTGCCAGCTAGAATCAGAATTGCTTAAGTCTGAGCCTTGCTCCCTTCATCAGTAGCTACAGTATTCCTTAAGAGCCAAACTGCTTGAAGCAAAAACATTTGAGTATCATGCTGCTGTTCCCGAGTGTCCTTGAAGTGCCACACAGTGACTTGGGGAAACAGAGTTATTGCCATATTTCTATGCAAACACCTAGATTATGACAGATTGTAGACGGTTAAAGATGCAGAACTGGGGCGGGGGGGAGACAGCAAGGAAGCAAGCATGGTAAGTGTCCTAGTCCATTCTCTCCCCAAGTGAGAACACTGTATTATCCCAACTGAGATTTTTTCAACCTTTTTCATAGAAATCCTCCAAGGATGGTAATGCAGTAATTGCTAAGGCAGTCTGTTCCGGGGCCCTACTATCCTTAACTTGGAAATTATTTTCCTAATGTCTGACCCGAGTTCCCATTTTTGCAGTTGCTTCTTGTTCTGTCCCCGGTGGAAGTACAGAACATTTTTTTTCCTTTTCTTTCTTTTTTTTTTTTTGTGCAACTACTTTTTTCCTAGCAAAGCCATGTCTCTCTTGCAGGGTATGCATTGCAAAGTGTTCGTACTAGTCTTGTGGTGCTGGATCCGTGAGTGGGTCAGACTGGAGTGAGCTCTGGCATGAACAGGTCATCTGTTTTGGATGGGCATTGCTAAATTAGCGTGTATACGTGACAGTGATTTTTGTGCCAGCATGTGCCAATCTGACACTCCCTATTCCAGAGCAAGTTGGTATTGCTCTGCCACGTGCATGCCGTGTGCATGATGGGGTGCCAGTCCTTTCGTGCTGTGGGGATTTTGTGTGTATATTCCCTTTGCAAAAGGCTGATGGTAGTAGCATAAGAGTGTGTTGCCTGAGAGAAAACATGGACCTTTGCTGGACCAGTTGCAGTTCATTCCTTTGCCATGAGAATCAGAAGGACCAAATCGCAAAGGATGCTTTGGCCAATTTCTCTACATAAAGTCCTTTAGCTGTTCACTATGACTTGAGATTGTCTGTATGCAGGACAGATTTCTGTGTTTCTTACTCCATGGATGATGCTTTCCCCTAAACTTTTCTCACAGGTCTCAGTCCAGGCCCTTTAAGCATTTTATCGTAGTCCTGCCGCCTTCGAATCACTAGCCTGGCATCTTCTAACCCAGTGCCGAAACCACGCTGGCTCTGAAATGTCAGCCTGCAGCTCCTCTAGCGCAGCCCTGCAGGCCCTGGCAGCCTGTAACTAATTATCTCAATTCACGTGATGAGCCAAAGAAAAGTGCAAGGGCTGTTTGAAAATGAAGTACAAAGAGGAAAAACAAAAGGCAAAACGAACTGAAGTAGAATATGATTCACAGACCTGCAAGAAACTGAGCCGGGGAGAGGACAGAGAGAGGCGGGGGGGCAGCCGGGGGGGCTGGGTTCATGGCCACACAGTGCCTCCTGCAGCCTGGTGCTGCTGCACCGGGGTGCATGGCCACACAGTGCCTCCTGCAGCCTGGTGCTGCTGCACCGGGGTGCATGGCCACACAGTGCCTCCTGCAGCCTGGTGCTGCTGCACCAGGGTGCATGGCCACACAGTGCCTCCTGCAGCCTGCTGCTGCTGCACCGGGGGTGGGTCTGCAGCGGCAGCGTGGGGTGGGAAGGACGCCTGCTGAGGAAGGCGTGTGCAGGGCTTGGAGATGCTGCTTATGCACAGCATGAGGAGTTGGCTGGTGACGATAAGCCCCTTACGGGACCCTCAAAATGAGGGTCATACTTGGATGAGCTACTATTGAGTCTGTGCTGGCTTGATTGAACTCTCACTCCTCACCTTGGTCTATGCCTATCGGCTCCACAATGCTGCACCTGCCTCAGGACCTTGCAGATCCTCTTGCCAGGCTCCCCTCTCCCACTGCCAGCGCAATTTCTGTGCTGCGCTCACCTTTCCAGGGTGACTTGAAACCATTGCATCAGTTGCAGGAGGGTCTGGGCAAACATCTTCTGGAGGAGTCAGACACAAGACCTGAGATCTGAGGCAGGAAAAGACCTGCATATAGCAAGTGTCCAGAGAGAAGGTGCGAACAGGATTGAAAGGCTCTGCCTTTGAAGGAAGCTGGTGACACCAAGGATAAAGGGGCAGGTGGAAAGCAAGAATGAACAGATGACAAAACCTCCAAGGTAGCTGTACGAGGTGCCGTGAAACCCTGGCCCGGACACATCATGACAGAACCTGCATAAAGCTTGCTAGTATGAAGTAAAACCATCATGATTGTTTGGACAAATTTGATCCACCATGAGGAGTTCATATCAGTGAGTGCTTCGTGTCACACACTGCTTTTAACCCAATTTTAGGACATTACAGCTCGATTTATTGTATCATCCAGTGACCCTCACTTGTGAAAGGAGCCAGCCAGCTTGCCCACAGCTTGACATGGGCTTTCTGGCCAAAGCTGACCCTGTTCCCCTCTCCACCACTAACACCACAGCAGTGTTTTTCTCTCAGTTCAAAAGGATTGTACTGGCAATTAATAACTGCCTTATAATAATGTTCTTACCTGTAAGAGGTGGGAAGTAGGGTATTGCCATTGTTAGGTTGGACTCGATGATCTTAAAGGTCTTTTCCAACCTAAATGA